GTTATCTTCGGTCTAGACTTTTGTCCGCCCATTCGGCCCTCATTGACTTTTCAGCTAGCACGGTGCAACTTGACCTGCCCTGTCCATCTGATACGCCCAGTCCGCCCCAAGTTCGTCTCTGCTCTTCTGAACATGTCCGTTTGTCACCGCAAACAGTTACCTGAATTGCCGTAACAGCGTCGCCACGTGTACCTGATGGAGACTACGTGCTTACGCCCATTATATCCATCTTTCTGACTCCCAGTGTTACTTTTCCGCACACTATTATTACGTTACGGGAAAACCGTGCTTGCATCCCTTTGCTGAACTTTGCTCTGTGTCCGCAAGTGCTTCCGTGTGGAATAGCCCTCGCCACGCTGACACCTCTGAGGATTGCGTCATCTCAGCTTTGTACCCCAATAATGTGCATCGCCCCAACTGCACGCAAGCCTGTTCTTCGACAGAGAGTCCATCTTCTAATGTGGAAAAAATGATCGCGGTGGACCTTTTGCCGCATCAAACTGACGCGCTCCGTCACGTCCTGGAATCGTACTTTGACGCATTCGACTTCTGTGACCGTCCGCTGGTCAAACCAGCATTGTGAAGCACCGAATTAACACTGGCGATGCATCTCTGGTACATCGACGGCCGTACCGCGTTTCTCCTGCGGAGCGCCAGATCATTCAAAAGGAAGTCGAGAAGATGCTCGCTAAAGACATAGTTGAGCCATCTTCCAGTCCATGGGCTTCCCTGTCCTGTATATATATATATATATATATATATATCGCTTGGTCTCCGCGGGCAGCCACTCCACGCTCAGCAGCCCGACAGGTGCGCGATCGGGAGGAACGTCCCAACATGGGAGCATCATCAACGTATACATGGCGGGCGCCGTCGCGTTTTAATAATTACTTGAACCTTGGGGGCAGTGCTCCGGTAACATCATTACTCACACCGCGGGCAAACGTCACCGTGAAAGTGTAATCTGTGACTGCCAATGTGGTTGATTGGGCGAGTTAGTGCTACATGACTGTTTGAAATAAGAGCGCACTACTTGGACGCGGAGTGATTGATTGATATGCGGGGTTTAACGTCCCAAAACCACCATATGATTATGAGAGACGCCGTAGTGGAGGTCTCCGGAAATTTTGACCACCTGGGGTTCTTTAGCGTGCGCCCAAATCTGAGCACACGGACCTACAACATATCCGCCTCCATCGGAAATGCAGCCGCCGCAGCCGGGATTCGATCTCGCGACCTGCGGGTCAGCAGCCGAGTACCTTAGCCATGGACGCGGACAGAATAGACACGGACAAACGCTTACTACCAACTGAAAGTTTATTCGGAAAGCTGTTAAATATATACTGACAAATCACACAGTATCGTGGCACATACGATAACAACAAATCGCGAACTAAAATAACAAAACCGATCAAATATCTATGCCTGTCAGCCCCACCTTACCATCGGCAACTGTGCCTTGTAGAGTGATTTCTTAACGCCTATACCTTCTGCGACTGTCCAAAAACGCTAGCTCCTTATCAGACAGAGCTATTGGTAATTTTCTCGCGCAAGCTAAGTGTTCACGCGCTATGAATGCAGCTTCGATTACAATCCTTGTGCGCTCATCTTTGTGTTTATTAAGTACGACTGTTGTCAAACTGAACTTCACAGCCACATCTAGTGGTGTTGGGCCAGAAAACCATTGTTCCTGCTGTGAACATTGCTCGCATGCTCCCGCAATATGTCGTTCAGGCATCTTCCAGTTTGCCCAATTTACAAGCCACCGCACGAAAGCATGTTCATGTAAACAACGTTGCTAAAGAACTATACTTCACGAGGGAAAAAATTTCGGGATTAATTTCCAGCGGAAGACACTCGTCTGTCGGGAGAGGGCTGTGCACGGAGGCCTCGTTTTTGTTGCGTTACGAACGAAACTGCGTTACCCGGCATCATAGAGTTTCCCAAAATTAACTAGAGGGCACTCTGGCACTGCGATCGTTCAGCGACCATGGAAATGATGGGTAGTACACACATTTGCCTAGTCTTCGTACTTGCCGGCAGCGAATCGTACTTGCGGCTTTTTTATTGCTGGTTACGGTTTTGTTTCGAAAGAAAGAACAAACCCTTTTGAACTATAGTGACTTGATTCAAAATGGCAAGCCTAAAAGAATAAGGTTGTCAAGCGCAAACGGTGAACATTTGCGTCAGTGTTCGTACCACGGTACGAACATTTGCTAATTTATGTTTTCGTGAAAAAACAGCTCTAAGCCACACGAACACACACGGAGCCAGAAGTACGAAAATTAGACAAATATGTGTACTACCCATCATTCCCATGCTCGCTAAAGCGCCGTGTGTTGCAACTCCCATAGGCAATAGCGCCAGAGTTTCCTCTAGTGTATATTAAGAAACTCTATGCCCGGCCTGAACCTAACGTCACGTGGGAGTGTGGCAGCTTGGGCTAGTCGGTATGGCATGACGATAGTTATAGCGCGAGACCAAAACGACGACACAGAGACAAGAAGGCATAGCGCTCATGTCCTTCGTGTCCTTCTTGTCTCTGTGTCGTTGTTTTGGTCTCGCGCTATAACTATTATCTCCAAGTTGGAGCATCATCGAGGTCGTATACCACGGCAAGCCTTGTTTGCAACTGTTTTCAGAATTTATGGATCGCGTTACTGCATGGGTGTTGCGGCCTCACACGCAATTAAGACTCCCGCAAACGCGGTCAAATTCATTGGGGGGGGGGGGGGGGGGGGGGAGTGTAGTTGTCTCGATTTCTCTATGACATTTTGAATGTATATCTTCAAGACGTTTAGAACATTTTGTTGGGTGAGTTAGTGTACGTGTATGTAAAATCATAATTGATTTTAGGGCTCGAAAAAACACAACCACAAGAGAGGACAGAGCATCCTACACACGAGGCACTCTGTCAGGCGTTCTCTCTTGTTTTTGTTTTTTTTTTCGCGCTCTAAAACGAATTATGAGCCTGAATACGTTATTGGCCACCTCATACTCAACTTGAGGACTTCTGGAAAGGTGACCCCCGCCGCTTCGGTAAAATCAGGTGTCCGCCCATGCGTGTAGCGAGTCGGTTTCGCAGCCTCGTGTGAACTAACTTCTGAAAGTGTGTTAATTACCTATTCTGAGATCAACGCAGTTTTCTTGATAGTAAAACGACCAACGGTACTTAAACATACCTCGTGCAATTCACGCTAATATTCGTTTTAGCACTTTCGGGGGCCGGGTTGTCGCATGCTGTGGTCGTCGTGCGTAGCATATCTCTCGCGCCAAAAAGAAGTCTTCTTGATCTTCATCATCGAAAAAGGCATATCACTTGGGTAATGTAGGTAAATACAAGCAAGGAAGCGAAAAAGAGCAAGGGAAGAGCAATAGAAAGAGCAAAACAAATTTCAAGAAAAAGGGCAGGAAAGGGAGAAAGCAGAAGAAGGGGGGCTCCGTCAGGATATTTTTTAAAACATAATACTTGACGAGCGATTCAGCTCGCTTTTCTTTTCTGCGCACGCAATGAGGTCACGTGAATCGCCAGTGGTGGTTCCCCTTCGTCAGTAGACGCGTTATTGCGATACACGTTCTGTAGCTGTGTTCTTTCATTCACTACCATCCACACTGTCAACTCGAGGGAAGTGGGCCTCAACCACAACGTGTCATCATACTTTCTATGGTTAATAGTAAATTAAACATGGACATGAATGGAACGCCTTTGGATGATCGCTGAACGCAGTTATGGGTGTGCCAGCATCAAGTGTTACCATTTCCATTTTCTTCTTCGGTTTCTCTCTCATTGTAGAGTAGCAACCGAAGTTCGTCTCGGTTCACCTCTTCATCTTTCGCACAAACACACGCGCATGCGCGCCGCCCGTGAAAATCTCTTCGCAGCGCTCGTAGAGACAGCAGCACACTTCCGCCCTGCGGGGTTTCCACCGGGCCGATGTCCGGCGCGAGAGGTGCTTGACCGCGTCGATACCGCCGGGATCGGGCAGCCCGTAGAATCCGCGCACAGTCCTTTCAGGGGCGCCCGCCCTTATCGTTCGTTCCCTCGTTCAGTCTTCTCCTCGCCGGAGCCACCTAGTTATGCCGGTTGCGAAAGTTGGCGGCAAAAGTCGTCTTGCGAACAGATTCCGCGCCACGAACACCAGGCAGACAGCTTCCGCTCAGTGAAGCAATGAACTATGGAGGGTCTCACTTCAATGAGGGCGCTCCATAACCTCGCGTACATCCGCCGACGTGGAAACTCCCAACAGAGAAGGTACAACAACATCCAAGCTCTGGAATACAAATCAATGTCGTTTGAATAATTGCACAGAACGTTATCGTTTGCAATGAAAGTAGGTATTTATCACTATGAATGGATCGGTGTAGTTTAGGGGAACTGACGAACCACATTACAGGCCGCGCACCACCACGGTACTGATAACTGATACACAAATGAGTGGAATGACGGTGAATATGGTGGTAGCCTGACAACTTCCTCGTATCTCCGCCGAGACTTTCCATCCATCGATTTACCATCAGATATGTTCTGTCAAAAAGCAAATCGAAATTGATAAATTTCGATTTACCTTTTTCAGTAATAGACAACAGTCATCTGCTCGCAACAGATGACTGTTTCTAGCAGGATTCGTGTGGCTGGTTGTGGGTATTTACTACACTTTCAAATGAGGCGCAAATATTCGCGCAGTGTTTGTAGTGCATACAGATACACACATTTCGGCACAAGATGCACATTTTTGTTTCCTCTCAAGATAAGAGGCTGTCGCCCGCACCGAATATTGCATTACGCTCAGCCAGAGATAAAAAGTAATGAAAGTGAGAGGGAGACGCTATCGAATGTTGGGGGCAACTGAGGCGAGGGGGCAGGCCCAACAAGCTTCCCTTGCTCCGTCAGACGCTGGGTGAGAAGGCGGGCATTACATTGGAAAGAGGGAAAGGAACCACAAAATGCCGCCCGGCGCGCAGCTAAAAAGCGGGCCTCATCCACTCAGCACCGCACAGTTCCTTACAACGCAGTTCACGGTGAACACACAGAGAGGCCAATGATGTGCAGAAAACAGGTGACGTTGATGCTCATAGTAGCGGTCACGGCAAGGGCGTTACCGATAGCTGACCCTAAGACGGACCACATCACGCCCATAAACACCGACCTCGCCATTCAGCCGGAGATCAATCATTCCGGAGGAAAGACGCCCATCATATCGGAAAAAATACCGTCCACGTACACCATCGAAAAGGAGGTCGGAGAGGATGTTGAAGTTGAGCCGAAACCTTACAAGACACCCGAAGTGGATTCGGTTGAGACAGTTGTTTCAGACGTGGAGCCGGTAGTCGCACCGGCGGCTCACAGTTCCTTCCGCGCACACGCGGAAGAGAAGGTAGAGGCCGAGAAGGCGCCAACTCTGTCGGTCGGAGACATTGGCGCCCAGGACCCAGTAGAGAGCCCCAACCTGCACAAGGTGGTGTTAGATACCGAAAGTGTTCCCCATGAAGGGGCGACAAGCACCGTCATCGTGGACGACGAGGCGACCAGGGACGAGAAGGTTCCCGATGGCGTCGAGCAGTACGGCTCCGCGCTCGAGTTCAGCAAGTACGACACCAACAGCGACGGAGTAATCGACATCGACGAGTGGAGCACCATCCACGGAGGCCACGAGAAGATCAACGGCCAGTTCCACGCCGCCGACATCAATGGTGAGTCAGCATTGATCGAAGATTCAAATGAAGAAAACAAAATGATTTGGCGCGAGAATGCAGTTTTTCGTTCCACTGTTTGCCGGAGGATGAGAACCTAAAGCTTGAATATAATGTCGCACACTAACGCAGTGAAAATTTGTCATTGTATTCTAAAAACGTAAATAAAACAGATTGGTTGAAATAGAACGTCTCGCAACACAAGCGCTGAACATCTCGGACACGATTTATATAGGAATGGCAGGCACAGTGGAGTCATTGTGCGCGCGTGCAGCTGGTCGATTCACGACACAGCTAATATCGCTGCTATACGCTGATCTTGTCATCGCTTTCTGTGCGAGAAGAGGATGCCGTGGTAAGAGTTATGACGGCACATATTGGCATATTCTAATGGCCGAGTCTCATCTCATATCATTTCTGGAACATTGGTGTCACACGCGGAGCCACCATAACAACCGTCAGGTTGCGTCAAGTTGAAAACTTCTCGCTTTACATCTTTTGAAAAGCGCATTTTCGAGTTTTGTTTATTGCATACTACGTCACAGCGAGTCCCGACAAGCGCAACCGCTGCTACATATATTTATAGCCCTGGGAGAGTGAGCGATAAATGCTCCGATAGCGCCGTCGGCGTTCAAACCATGAATTAAACGCACAATATCGAAGTAAGGCGCGTAATAGTCTACTACCGAAAAGACAAGTTTTAGAAACTCCCTGGCGGAAAACTTAATCACATGGCAGTACTTCCCTTACGTAACTTGTTCCTAATCCACTCGATTCCGTAGCTGCATGCACTTAGCGCTCAGGTTGGTCTAAGCCCGAATACACAAACCAACGTCATCCTTACCTCGAGTTTTTCTTGTTGCTTTTAATCCTTATTACGCTGGATGAACAAAGCAGACCATTAATTTGATTGATTTGTGGGGTTTAACGTCCCAAAACCACTATTTGATTATGAGAGACGCCGTAGTGGAGGGCTACGGAAATTTTGACCACCTGGGGTTCTTTAACGTGCACCCAAATCTGAGTACACGGGCCTACAACATTTCCGCCTCCATCGGAAATGCAGCCGCCACAGCCGGGATTCGATCTTAAACAACAAAGCAGACCGGTATTCATGACCCAACTTTGTAGCTATGTTTTACCATATGGTCATTTTTGTGCCCTTATAACGCAAATTGAGAGTACAGTAACTAGAAGAAAACTTGAAGTAAGGTCAAAATTGGTTTGTGAATACGGGCCTAAGTTGCCAACGGTTACTTGACATAACAAAACGACAAACATATGCGCGTGGTAGTTGACTTACTAATACCGCATTGAGTGGAAAGATATCTGGTTTTAACCTCGCGCCATGTCTTTCAAGTCATTGGACAACAACTGGACGAACACTTTTTAAAGTGTGTTGTTAAGGAATAATTGGCGTAATTTACGCGTCTAGTTTATTTACCAGGTTAACTATATTTTTTATCTTTCTATAATCTTATTACGGGGCTGCGATATACACAAGTAAATTATCAAATTGATTTGAATTTGTAACTTCTATTTCAATGAGAAGGTTGATAAGTTTATGAAGGTGCACTCAACATGTTGGCACCACTTCTCGCTTCCACTGCAGAAAGGCTAAGCAATGATGTTCACTACACGAGCTAGCTACTCACGACACGTGCCTCCCGGACTTCGAGTGTGCTATCATCCTGGTACGCGCGATGACCAGCGATAATTCGTAGCAAACTGCTTAACCGGTCTCGATTTTTTCGTCTCAGGTGACAAGCAGCTGGAGGAGAAAGAGTTCCAGGGAGCCAGCTGGTACCACGACGGCGACCAGGGGGCCGACATTGCCCGAGACGCGCTGATGCTCGCCATTGCCGAGCAGGCCGCCACAGCAGAGCACAACCACGCCATGGCGGCGGCAGTGATGCCTTCCACCGAGTTGCGGTACATCGTGGACGACGCCCAGAGCGTGCCCGTCATTCCCGCAGAGCCCGTCGTCGTGGATCCAGAGAAGTCGGTCGTGCCCAGCGTCAACGTAGACGCAGCCGATTTTTCGATCGCTCCTCCCAAAGGTGTCGCTGCCGAGCCCGCAGTTCACAGCAAGGATAAGTCGGAAGTTCCCCAGGTTGCAGAGGTGCTCAAAGATGTCCAGCCGACGGACACAACGGAAAACACCAGCTCGACTTCTTCAAAGCCTGCGGTTACCGCGAACGAGCACGGCAAGGTGACGCCCGCAGCGTGACGCGTTGTCGCGAACCACAGAACCACGCGCCCTCCTTAAGTTTCAATAAGAAAGAACTCTCGGTGCTTTCTGTCATCGGGAACGGCTACATTTAGAGAATTCGATCCAGATGCAGCACCTTTTTCTCATCGCCTTTCTGTACTAAGTTCGCGTAATTTATTGCACCATTGTTGCTTTTGCTAGGGAACGCTGCATCTGTTCGTTTGACTTTTTTCCCCTGATGAGGTACTCTCGCTCCGGATATTGGGCTTTCTGTGTCAAGGTGGATGGGCTGATGGACAAAATGTCGACAAAATATGTGCATTTATGCCTTGTTAATTTTTTACAAATAAATGCCACCTCAAGATGGCCACAGGTGATTTTTCTCGGTCTTGTACAAACATTTTACGACACAATAATCGGAATAGACCACTATACCTTATAATTACAACGGTTGTTTTAACAAATAACGCCAGTTTACGTGCGAAGCTATGTGTTATGTAGGTGTAATTATATGTTCCTTTCATTTTGTAATTGTCATTGTAGTGTCACAGGGTTCCCAGGTGCATGGTGCGTATGCTTCTGACGCCTGAATATCAGCAGAGCAAAGAAGCTGATAATAAGAATACATTTCATTTCATTTATTTACTCTCAATGCCGTAAGGCGTTACAGAGAGGAGGGGTAAAATATTAAACAATCAAGAGAAAAGACAACAGCGGGGTGGTTACAAAAAGTGATTGCTGACAGTGGACCTAAAGTGCACATCATCTTATAATGTCAATTGTTCCATAAGCCACCTTATCAAAAAGTTTGGGCATAGGAGTTTATTAGAACAAACGGACTCGGGAGACGAATGATAAAGGCATGCGATAAAGGTGCACAGTATTGCGGCGTCAGGGTTGCGTTAGACCCAAATTTCACCTGGTAGCGTGACCGAGTCTTTGAGTTAATAGACAGTTATAGTATACCGGGCTTACCGTGATACTGGGCGTACCGTGATACCGGAATCGAAGTGCGCATGCGCAGATACGTATACGTTACCCGTACCGTTTATCGTACGCGCCGTATTTTTCAGATTTAAAGTTACCGTGGTAGCGTAAGTGTACGTAAACATGGCGGCACTTTCGGACGCCCGCTTCGAGAGATTTTGGCGTAGTTGTTGAAAGATTCACCTTGTTCGCTGGAAACGGCTGTTTAAAGTGGCTTCGCTTGCCTTCAGTTAGCTTCGATGACCGAGTATTGCGGATAAGCTGGCGTATTTTTGAGTAGCTTCCCATTTAGAACGCGTCTAGGCCTAACTGCAAGATCAATGTAAACGAATCGGCAACATATTTTTTTGCATTTAGTGCGTGGTTCATTATAATTTGCTGTTATTATTAGTAAAATAAACTTGTAACAATGCTTTGCGTGGTGGCATAGGCAAACATCCTCGTTTTCTTTTCCTTTTCACTGTCTATAACTTATTCACCATCCGATAGGTGGCGCCACCATTACAGCTGGGACACGTAAACGCTATACTGCTAAAGTATAAGGCGCTGTCCACAACGAACGTTTGCTGCATGGTAACGGCATTCCCATAACCTCCGCTATCACGTTAACCGCAAACTATAACTGTCTAACGAATTGATGCTTAAAGGGGCCCTGCGACAGTTTTGGCAAAGCCTTAGCACCGGAACGCGTATAGCGATGATTACTGAGACGAATGCAACAAAAAATATGGAAATTGGCGCACGGAAAGTGAAGTTATGAGTCCTCAAAGTTCAGAACTCGAGCAGACTACGACGATGAACGTTCTCTTTCGCATTTCACTCGCCTGCTGACGTGAAAGAGCGCTTACAATCACACCACGCATTTCATAATAACATTCCGGAAATGTCACCTCATTGTGGCCTTCAGACAATGCCTCGCTACCATTCTTTATGACGGCGTCGTTGACATTGTTACTACGAACCACGTGCGTCGGGTAGCAGACGCTCCCACAGTCACACTGTGCAAGATACGCACACAAGCTTTGGACGTGGTCACTTCTCGGCTTGCATGCAAGACGCATTCTACAGCGACGCCGGCGCCCACCGTCTGTCGCACTTTCGGCTCTCTAAAACACGGCATCCGTTCCCACTTATAGTTGCTGGCGTATTGTAGCCTCGATCGCAGGCTACAAGTGTTGTGTTCGTTGTTCTGAAAATACATAATTCAGAAACAGGAATAATTTCTTTCCGAAGAAGTATAAAAAAAGGTTTTTGCTGTTTTTATCATTCACTGGCATGGCCTACCTACCCCAACGTGAATATTGGACGCTATTTGTCACGTTAAGCCAATCAAAAGCGAACGGTGTTGGTCGTCACGTCACATAAGACGACGTCACTTCCCATAACAAAAATAGCCAATGTGTGTCGCCATAGTCTGAAATCAAGGTAGTTTGTCCCGTGAAATAAAATTATAACAGGGTCAATTCCGGCGTTGCCATGTGCACAACGATATCGGCGCCTTCCACAACAACAGAAGAACCTATGAATAATGCATGCTGAAATAGTGTGGCCCCAGAGATAACACGCCTTAGTAGTCCGCACGGCGTTAGCACCCTTTAAGAAGGGACCATACTTCAAGTCACCCGTCTTGCCGAATGTTGCTCACCTTCACAGCGCGGCAGAACGAAAGTAGCTGGAGCGCCACAGCATGCAGAAACAACAGCCATTGAAAAATTCAGTGCTTGCTTAATTCAACCAGGCCCCGCTTGATGGCATCACCTGACAGCGAACGCGTCGTCAATGTGGCGAGTCACGCGTGTGGTAGGGATAGGTACAGCTTAAGAGACCACCGATACACATTCGTGACTGAGTGTATTCAACCAAACCCTCCCAACACATACACAGCTCTCGGTGTCGTACTGGGCTTTGAAGACGCAGAGGCCGTGGTTAGGGTGACCAGAAGGGTAGGTGTGCTGAGCGCGGCCGCCCGCCATAGTAGAGGGTGGTCCTCTTTCGCGTGATCGCCGCTAAGGCATGACATAGCGCTGCCGTCTGGGGCGCCGTCAGCGTTTCCACGGAGAGAGGCCATTCCGGTCGTCAAAACCTTGCTAAAGCGATCAATAAAGAGAAAAGAAAAGTGAGCCCCGTAACTGTCTGCATCAAAGTGCGACACCTCAACAGTAGCTCACAAGGGATGGGGGTAAGGAGGTATTAAAAGAATAGTATTAAAGGTATATATATAGAGAGAGAGCTCTCTCTAGATAGAGAGAAAAAGAGATGAGCAAGGACCTTGCCGTCGGCTTGTTGTTGTCATTGTTGCGTGTATTGCTGCAGACTACTTGCGTGTGCTTATGATAGGGTGGCTACCCCTGATTCACGAGCGCTTTGTGCTGGCGAAGATGCCATCTACTTAAAAAAAAAAGTGAAATGAGGGGACCCCAAAGCTGCGCCTTCAGGAGTTGAACGCCACAGCGACATCCTAATCGTAGTGCGTACTGAAACACTTATATAGTGCATGAAACATTTTATAATTTGCTATGCACCCACTATATGTGACCTTTAGGAAATAGGCGCAGTAGCGTGTGTGCCTTTTGTAGTGGGAAACCAGCTTTCAACCACGGCGCCATCAGGATAAATACATATTACAACACCCGTTGGCAATGGACTCTTGACCATGCATTATTACTGCAACATTTCACGTTGAATTAAGAAGCATATATGCGGGACTGGTGCGTTCGAGTAAAACATGGGAGCTACTTTCACTGCATTTCCAAGCAGAGGAAGTTTTTTTTTTTTTTTTCACAAGCAGAGGAGTGGCCTTTGAAAGCGGTGAAAAAAAAAGCTTCCTCTGCTTGGAAATGCAATGAAAGTAGCTTTCACAAGCAGAGACGTGGCCGTGTAAGAAAAAAAAAAAGGCGTGGTTGCGTGGTATATAAAATCGGCTTGCCACACAAATGACCCCGGTTTGATCCCCACTTGGTCCCCAACAACCCCGGTTCGGTTCCCACACTGCTCCATGGTTTGGCCACAATCCACTTGCTTTTGAAGGGTCTGAATAAAAAAATTAGCGACAAGAAATGCGAAAGGGAAAAGCCTTGCGTGATGTAAAAAAGCCGCAGAAATTTTCAAGTGCATTCGACGCAATAAAGTTTGTTTACCTCGTAATATGACGCATTTATTTATTTCGTATCTAAACAGAGCATAAAATAACTATTTAATGTTGGATTACCACATATGCTATTGTTTAATACTGATCAAGCTGGTGTGAACCAAGTTATCTCCTTTCACGCATATGGAGGCCTACGAATGAAACAAGCAAAGTGCACAGTAGCATAAACTCCGCTTTCACTGTGGTAGTGCATCAATGTGGCATTTCCACAAGACCTGTTTGCTTTCCGTTGGAAGATAACTTGACTGGGTACCTCGTATTCGAAAATTCCACAATAACAGTAGCGCAATACAAACTGTGCAATGCTAAAAACCTACATAAAGTTGTATATAATTCAATAACGCGTTTCCACTGTAGTGAGGCGTTGTCCCAGCCAAGCGCACAGAACGCCTCTGATCGCCACGGCGCCCCTGACCGCAGCGCCATCACGGCATACACTCAAATGGCGGCCAACTTTTGCTGCCCGTTCATCGGTCCTTCCGAGTGTGGAAGGGCACTAGCATATGCTAGCGCCCTTCCACACTCGGCGAGCCCGCATGGATGGATAGATGGATGAATATGGCTAGATGAATGGAATGAACACTCGGCGAGATGGATGGATGGATAGATGGATGGATATGGCTGTACCCTTTAGATTGGGCGGTGGCTAGCGCCACCAAGCCGTAATACCTAATGCACCAAAAACTATATATTTTTTTCCCCTTAAAAAGTGAGTTTGAGGATTCGTACTTTGCAGTGAAGAGTTTAATTTTCACTCGTGCCTTGACTTTAGCCACCAATCGGATAACCTCCTTTTAGTTAAGTCTACCCGCTTAAAGTTTATTTTGCCCTCCCGGTCCCTAAACCCCAGTGCTTTGAAAAACTCTGCGCCATCATCCTTAACTATAGGGTGAAGCCCTTTACAGAACATTATCAAGTGTTCGACAGTTTCTTCTTCCTCTCCACACGCACTGCATACTGTGTCTACCCCTTCGTATTTGGCCCGATATGTCTTGGTTCGCAGTACTCCCGTCCTGGCCTCAAACAGTAGAGAACTACCCCGAGTATTATCATAGATCCTTTCCTTGGCAATTTCCTGCTTAAAAGTGCGATAGATCTCTAGTGCGGACTTCTTAATCATGCCCATTCTCCACATGTCAGTCTCAGTTTCCTTCACTTTCTTCTTAACCTATAGTTCTTTTTGGTTTGGCCACCTTCTGTTTTCTAAGTATTTACCAGTCAACTTCCCGGTTCGCTTCCTCC